TTTATATTCAATCAAGTAAACCACCATCACACTTTGTGAAGGGCCCCAACAGCATCCTTGCTGTTGGTTTAAATCGGTTCAAACCGCTTATAATTAATTATTTTGGTCATTGATAAAATAAAATAAACCATCATCACACTTTGTGAGTGGCCCCAACAGTATCCTTATTGTTGGTTTAAATCGGTATACACACATCTAATAATGATCTACATCTCTAGACAGCCGGCTGTTTAGAGCATAAATCGAAAACACTTATAAATAACTACACAAAACAAAAGATCGCATCACTTATCAAGGTGAATCCTGATCCAACGAACCTAACCCACTAACAAAACCTCCTTCCTGTGACTTTTGTGGGATGCAGAGGTAAACACGGTCCCAAAACAACAAAAGTCACACACTAACATTCCTTCCCTCTCCCACCTGATTGCAAGGACGTGGCCGGTGACGTTATTGATCTTTAAAGGTAGGAGTCACTGGAACATGTACACTGAGAATGGCAGGTTACTCCCAAGCTCCATTCAGTTGATTCTTTGTACAATTTCACTGGTTCAGATCAATCACGGAGTGCAACTATCGATACGTGCAGTCAGACTAAGCTAAGCTAAGCTAAGCTAAGAATGATAGCTTATGTTTACAGGCTGGAATGCGCCTTTTATAGTCTGCAGAAACTTTTTATATTAAAACAGAAGCTGATTCGGGTCCCATCATCTCGAAAATGACTCTTTCTTACATAATAAAATAGCTTGGGTGTTTTTGAGCACTTCGTAAATGCTCGATTCATGATCCTGACAGTGGGATTTTCCTAAATTGGTGTAAACTAGAGGTGCTGCTGTAGAACAAATGAAGTGGACCAGACTTTATTTCAATATTTGCATTCCGTGGCGTCGCTTTAACCACAGAGAACAGGCGTTCAACTTTCACCAGAAACTTGTGTAACGATAAGTGGGAACGTCGCCGTTATGTAACGCTAGCATCTCCTGATTTCCTCCATAAATTTTCCTCTTTCTACCAATTTGGCGCTAGTATCGATACATTTTCGGTTAAAAATGACCACTCGGCGCTACCGGCACTTAGTGTCTAGAGTAAGTTATGCAGCACCATAATGTTGTCAAAGAGGGTTTTTAGGTGGGGAAATCGGCGTTGGCGGCGCTTAAGTCGAATAGGAATCTTTGCACAAGTTTTTACAGAAATTTAACTCAAGCCTCATCGTCTGTTCTCTGTACTTTAACCTTAATCTACCTGTGCACCACCTCTAAAACATAAATGAATTTCAAAATATTGCTTGCAATAAATAAATATCAGTACAACTAGAAGATTATGTGAATTTTGCAATCAATTTGGATGCACATATTGTAAGATATCAGGTTTTAAAAGTTGGTGCACCGGTAAAAAGTGAGGTTACACGACGCCACTGATTACATTCCTTTGAAATTCTTCACATTTATTCAACTCCAAAAGCTCCTCAAATCATCTGGATTTGTCCTCAGAAATCCATTTTTTTTTTCATCTGAATTTTAATGAAAAATTGCAAAGAATTTCATTTAACTTCATGTTTTTAATTATTCTCCTAATATATCCATCTAATATTTTTCGAAACTTCCTTGATATTATTTTCTGAATATTCTTCAGTAATCATTAGTGTTTGGGCACACGTCGAATATATGTGCAACTACCATACACACTAAAAATGTATCCATCGAGGTATCCATCCACACACAGATGTCATTACTTGTATATACAGTGTCCATAATCACAGAGAACAGACGTCTAACTTCCACCAAAAACTTGTGTAACGATAAATGGGAACGTCACCGTTACGTAGCGCTAGCATCTCCTGATTTCCTCTGTAGACTTTCCACTTTCGACCAATTTGGCGCTAGTATCGATACATTTTCGGTTAAAAATAACGACTCGGCGCTACCGGCACTTAGTGTCTAGTGTAAGTTGTGATACACCAGCGTCATCATGTTTTCAAAGAGGGTTTTTTAAGTGGGGAAGTCAGCGTTGGTGGCGCCATAGTCAAATAGGAATCTTTACACAAGTTTTTACAGAAATTTAGTTCGAGTCTCAACGTCTGTTCTCTGTGTTATAATCTTGTTCTTTACTGTTTAGTATTGTATTCAATGATAGACGAGCATAAGCATGCATGCATGAGCATGATTGACCGCCCACGGTTGCTACTCTGTTATTGCTGGACCAGCTGTAATTACACAGAGAACCAATAGACGATGCTTGGGACTAGCAATCATCCTCAATGTGTAAAAACTGGTGATCTCAAATTTAGCAATACCTGCGCCAGCCGCGCCTGAACGCAGGTCAAGAAAGGAATGGGTAGGAATGTGTTGACATGAAACTCGCTTTGATGGAAACCGAGGAGTCCTCTGCACTTCCACGAGGAATCACAGGGATGTTGGGTAAGAGGGTTGGGTTTTCAGCAGGGTTCGTTTCGGTAAACGATAAGCTGAATTGATTTCCTAACGATCGTATAACACGAAGGAGCTTGGGATTGAACCCACGGTCTTCTGCTCAGTTAGCAAAAACGTTTGCTACTATGCAAACGAGCTCCTTTTTAATCATCGAGTTGCTGTTATTACCATGTAGTCATATTAACAAATAAAACGATTGACGAATCTTGATGTGGATGGGCTTGAGATTAGACTCAGGATGTTCTGCTCAGTAAGCAAAAATGGTTGCTCTAAGGCCACCGAGCCCCTTATATCACATCATACCGTTACTCAAGTTGTTATAACTATTCAAACCCGGCACCGACGACAACGAAAGGTTTAGCATAATACACGATAAACAAGCGATCTTACCATACATTTTTAATATGAAAGGACCTGGGACCACGTTTTTCTGCTCAGTAAGCAAGCCACTGCAACCGACGATCTTTCAAATCCGACAACAAAAGGCTACGAAAAAGTATTTAGGCCTTGATTAAATTCCACTATAACGCGACGTTCAATGTTTCGATTTGCTCTTTACGCATTGTTCAGGCAATCATAACAAGCTATGACCAACGTGACGATTGTTTAAAGTAATATGAGTAATATGAGTATTATTGTACAAATTACAGTACATTGTAGAAGTTACCTCATTATTCTGCAGCGCCATCGGTTTTTATTTCTGGATCTTGAGTTGTTTTGATGATATACTTACTTGCGGCTGTATTCAATGATAGACGATAACAAATAAAAAGTCAATAGTTTGTATGCCTCCGCCATAGCAGGACGGCCAAATAATCGGTCGTGTATTTTATTTTCAAAACATAACGTAGGAAAAGGTCCTGCCCGTGCGTGATCAATTAAAAATTATCCCGGGACCCCCTTATAAATATCTTCGAATTCTCATTTAATTTCATCTGGTATCCTCCTCAAGATTCAAATACAAGTCTCTTCAGGATCATCTACAGTGACCAGCACAAAAAATCATCCACTCACAAAAATGTAAACATTTGAACAAAACTTATAACTTTTCTGTCATTTTGTTTTATATCCTATAAAATTTGTCAATTTTGCCTGCCTGGTATTAATGATTTTTTTTTTGTGGCAAAATTTCAAATAAATAAGTTTTATGTTAAAAAGAAATTTAATTGCTATGGCATAATGAAAGATCCATCTTTTGATTGATAAAATAATCAAAAAAATCTAATCCAAAGCAAATGACTAATAGGGGGTTTGATCTTATTTCCGTCCTACTAAGTACAACCCGCGTTTTACCTCTCTTTTTTGAACGGTTTAAAACGAAAAATTGAATATTTCTGTCAAAGATGCCTTCTAAATTTATTCACCTCTCCATATGTACCGTTGGATTTGATAAAGAGTCATAAATTGTTGAGATATTGTTTAAAATCTAATACCGTTTCTTGATTCTAAATTCGTCCTACGAGCTTCAATTCCGTCCTAACGCATTGAAATCAAGGTTGTAAATACTCATTTCAGCTAAAACAATGTTTTTCTAAATTATGAAATAATTAGATGCCATGATCAAATTTTGAATTGGTAGGATACAAGAAGAGGTTGCAAAGAATGTGTTTGACATATTAAACCTGTTTATTTCATTTCATGAGAGTCACAATCAGCGATTTTTCACAAACTCACTCACTCACTCACTCACTCACTCACTCAGCGATCAGAAAATCGCTGATTGTGACTCATAGAAAGCAAAATTTACAGGTTTTATGTTTCAAACGCATACTTTGTAACCTCTTCTTGTAAGTTACAAGTAAAACATGCCATCATACCATCTTTTGGTTTCATTATTCCGAAAAACATTATTTTAGCTGAAATGAGTATTTGCAACTTTGATTGAAATGCCATTAGATTGTCTTCGTCCTACGGATAAACGTAGAAAAGGGGATTCGCTGGGAGCGCTTCTTTTGTTTTGAGAACAATGAGCGTAAATATTCATATAATGCGCTCTAATAGTATTTGTGTTGTAGGTATTGAACTAACGCATCGGAACAAACCTATTATTGATTTTTGCACGGGGAAATCATTGATATTACTGATCTTTTCTGATCGATAGAACGGAAATGGGCGATTACGACGAAGTAGCACTCTACCCTAGTCAATGTGATCTCCCTTCGCTTCGATGACCAACTGCAACCGCTTTGGCATGCTTTCCACCAAGTTTTTGAGGTGCTGAGAATCCAAATCGTCCCAGACCTTTTTTAGTGCTGTAAAATATGTTTACTTGTTTGTGACACCGGTTTTCTCCATTCAATTATCCAGGATAGTTCAAAGGGTTTCGATTGGGTTCAAATTGGGGCTCTGAGGTTGCCATTTCGACAAGAACAGAAAAAAATAAGTGTTTTCTTTGCCATGTGCTTGTGATCGTAATTCTGCTGAAACATTATCTCCAAATTAAGATTAGAGGAAATTTAAGTAAGGGAAATTGGCGCAATGGAAGACTGAGCCTACAAAACAGTACTTACTTCACTTATAGATATTGCTTAACCAATGACTTAATGAATGTTTAATTTTCTTTATTTTCAGATGGCGCGGCAGTGTATACAAAGCAATTTGGCGAGAGCTGCTAGCATATCTTTGCGTTTACTACACACTAAACCTGACCTACCGGTATGGTTTAAACGAAGAAGGTAGAAGGTAAGTCTCTAAAAATAATCTCTAAATAAACCTTCATCCATCACTGGACGGCCCCTGCGTAGTGATTTTATATTCATACCTCTCACGCCAAAGTCACAAGTTCAAATCTCATCCCAGATAAGTCACGAATGACCTAAGAGTGCTAACCGTTGTAAACAGATCCGCATGTTAGCTTTGCAATCAAGCTAATCATAAACTAATTTGATATTCGTGCTCACTCACCTCGAATCATTTCATCTAATTGATCATGACAAAGCATATCGTAAGTCGCAACTTGCCCTGCCTTCGCTAACTACCGCCTCTTTCTCTTCCAGAGTATTCGAAAGGATACGAAATTACTGCGGACAGCAGCGCGAAACAGTGCCACTTTCGTTCGTGCTAGGCTTCTATGTGAGTCTGGTGGTGAAAAGGTGGTGGGAGCAGTACAGATTGCTACCCTGGCCCGATACGCTTGCCCTCTTCGTCAGTGCCGCCATCCAAGGCCATGTGAGTATTCTGTGGCGATTGTTCTATTTAGTAGCATGATTCAAAAGTTAATGTATCACCCTCTTCTAGGATGAAACTGGCCGACTGATGCGACGAAACATTATGCGATACATGGTCCTCGCATACGTTATCACACTGCAGAAGATTTCGCTGCGAGTGAAGCGTCGCTTTCCGACCTGGCAGCACCTGGTGGATGCCGGCTTAATGTTGGAAAGCGAGCGGAAGATTTTCGAAATAATGGACTCTAAGAGTCCCATGTCCAAGTACTGGATGCCTCTGGTGTGGGCAACCAACATAATCAATCGTGCCAGAAAGGATCAGATGATCCCATCGGATCACATCGTCCAGACTCTACTGATGGAACTGTCTGACATCCGACGACGGTTGGGTGGTCTCATCGGTTACGATACGGTCTGTGTACCGTTGGTGTATACACAGGTAGTCACACTGGTGCTGTATTCCTACTTCACGGCGGCCATCATGGGCAGCCAGATGATTCCGACGTACGACGCAAATACCAACACCTACATGGAGCTGGATGTGTACTTCCCACTGTTCACTGCGTTGCAGTTTGTATTCTACGTGGGTTGGTTGAAGGTTGCCGAAGTGTTGATTAATCCCTTCGGCGAGGACGACGATGACATCGAACTGAACTGGCTCATCGACAGACATATCAAGGCATCGTACATGATCGTTGATGAGATGCACGATGAACACCCGGAACTGCTCAAAGATCAATACTGGGAGGAAGTGGTACCAAAAGACTTGCCCTATACGGTAGCGTCCGAACACTACCGACGAGAGGAACCCAAGGGATCGGCGGAGCACTACGTTGTGAAGGAATCTGAAGCAGTTTACGCCAATATTGTCGGCGGGAAGCGAGCTGTGAATGATGAAGTCTACGCTGATTATGTAAGTTTTTAACCTAATTGTCCCGAAATGTATTTTTTGCTCAATTTATTACCACACATAGGAAAGTGTGGACACTCCGATGGCTGAACGACGCAAGGGATGGTTCGGCCGGCAGATGAACAGAATTTCGATGCGTAGTGCATCGACGGCCTACTCGTCCGGGAGGTTGTTCACTCGCAATCGGAACAATTCGGTGTACTCTAGTCCAGAGGCCGGCATCACCCAGCCAATCAGTGCCGGTGCTCCAATGCAGAAAATTAGTTTCTATGATAAGTTTGTCAACCGAAAATCTGGCCGCCACCCGCGGCAGATAGTCAAACAAAGTATGAACAAGACCTTTCATAAAACCTCGCTAGAAATGCCTAATCTTGTGTGTCTCCTCATTGTAAACAGATTCCAAACTAAGCCTAAACGGCTCCGTGATTTCAAGTGTGCCACCGAAGGCTCGTCCTCGCATTCCTACTCCAGACGTTGCCAAGGATAGCAAAATGCACCCACTAGCGAATATCACCACCCAGCTGGAGAGAACGTCCAACATTGCGTCCGGAGTGGCGCTGATGACTACTCAGGTACTGTTCTCGAATCGAACTACCCGTATTTGATCTCATACTACCATCCAACCTAAACTTTATCCAACAGCTGGCCAACAATCCGTCCATCTACCCAGCGTCGTTGCACAACAGTGACCTTCCGGTTGTCGGTACGCTGTTGCTGGCTCCGATCAAGGAGCTCGATTCCAACTCGGTCACCAATACTCTGCACGCCGGCCAATCGGCCACGGCTGCCCTGGCGAAGTCAATACTGCCGTCAAGTATCAAGAATGCCGGTGAGTTTTATTTTTGCCGGAATGTTGTATGCATTTTTACCCCCTTCTTACAAAATCAGCTTTAGAGCTGAGGCCTGGAGGGCCAAGCGTCATATACCAATCGACTCAGCGCGATGAGATCGAAACATGTTTGTGTGTATGTGTGTGTGTATGTGTATTGCCGCGGATACACTTATATGACAAACTATGAACATGAGCATTATTTGGATAATCAATTATGAGCACATCCATGATCCCACTTGTATAGTAGAGTGATGCAAAATTTGAAATTTTCGCTCCACAATACTTAAACGATTCCAAATCGGATCCTGACTAACCTCTCAAAATTTGAACCCATTTGGTGAGAAACTGAGATGGCACAAACCATTTGAAGTTTGTATGGGAATAACTATGGTAAAACCAAGATTTTTGTTCATGTCTATCTAATTATTCACCATATCGGTTTACTTCAAAAGCTTTCAACTGTACTTGTAGGAAATTTTTCCAGCTACAACTTTGCTCAAAACCATTTTTTGATTAAATGCAAGAATCGAAAGTTATCAATGATTCAATGCGCTGATGTCTTATGATCATGCTCAATCAACTGCTCAGCAGGCAACATTGGTGTTTCTGGGGCGTTGAATAGGACACAAAAATCATGGCTACTATGTCACACTGCAAAATACAGTGTTGCCTACAGAGCAGCTGCTTGATCATGTCATAAGTTTACCAATCTCTTAAATAATTAATAACTTTTTCTTGTCTCGTTTTACAGAGAAACGATCTTGAGTAAAGTTGTAGCTGAGAAAATTTTCTATAAGAATGGCTATCGAACTGTTTCACAGCTCAATATGGAAAAAGACTAGAAGGCAATGAACAAAAAGTTGAGATTTCCCATAGTAATTTACATGTAAACTTCAAATGGCTTGTGCGAAGTCTGTTTCTAACCAAATGAGTTGTAACTTTGGGAGGCTAATCAGGACCCGGTTTGAAACCATTTAAGCACTGTGGAGCGAAAAAGTTTAATTTTGCATCAGTGTATTGTATAGTTTTAGGATGTGCTCATAATTTATTATACAAATAATGCTCATGTTCATAGTTTGTCATACAAGTGTATCCGTGGCATATGTGTGTTTGTGGCGCAATAAAGTACGACGTGTTTCATGACAACCATTGCACCACATTGGATGCCAAATGGAAGAAACCATAGTATCATAGACATGATCGAACATTTTAGGAATCGGTCAACTGGTTTTAGATATATGGTTGGAACATGTTCCACTGAATACGGACCTTAAAATTTGAAGTGACCTGAAACGTGTCAAACTAGGCTGGCCCACCAAAATAAAAGTTCTAATTTTCCACGGGCCAACCCCTAGATTTGTTCCATTAGTTGAGAAAACCATTCTCTGAAAGTTTCAGCTCATTTGGTTGTAAGATGAGCTGGCGCTTTTAGTTTAAATTTTGTGTAAATAATTTGGATAAAATAGGGGAAATGGCTCTACTGTTGGCCTATGAATCTAAATTTGGGTCCATCGCTAAAAATCTGCTCAATTTTATCTAGATGAACGCGTCATTGGGGCGGTACTAAAGGATATTTTTGGTCGTTATTGAAAATTTAGTCGATTGCTGAATTTATGTATGAGATGTGATGTGAATGAAACCCACCATCAGTGCAAGGATTACCTGTCTGCAGATACTTAACCGGTTGTAAAGTTCTGCCTGATGGTTTGTTGCAGCAGGGTTAATCAGTTCCATTGAAAACCAGATGGCCATGTGTAATCACGTGACAAGGGACTGGCAAATCCACGAATCCTCGTCCAGTCAACAAATCCTTTGATTACCTTACGCTGTTTTGAAAAGTTCTTTAGTGGGAATGACACTGATGAAGACTGTACATTGTAGTCGAAATACGTATCTGTCATGGGTACCAAAATTAATTAAAAGGAATTAAATGGTACCAACATTAATTAAGTGGAATTAAATGGAAGATAATCTTTTTTTTTGCTGTTTTATTTAAGCATACCGCTAACAACCCAATTTCATTACTTCAACCAAATAAGCATAAAAACCTCCAAGCAAAAAAACGAATATCATGTACGTTCACACGCGCAGCCTACTTTGATTGCAGAATTTCTGTATGGGCTCAAATTAGGGGCATTTAGGCCAACATTACATCCATTTCCCCTCCATTAAGAAATGATAATCCGATACTCTTTCGATCATTACAAAGTATTCTTATCCTTAATTTGATTCCGATGTTTGAAGTTTGTGGTTCAAACCTCGGTTCAAACAACGAGTAACAGCTTTGCTGAAGACTGCACCATGAGTTCAGTTAGTTTTATTGAAATATTTGCTTTTGAATGTAGATGAAAATTTCAGCCAAATCCCCTATATAAACATTAAACCAAAAGCACCAGCCTGTTTAACGTCAAAGACAGCTGGAACATTCAGAGAGTGGTTACCTCATCAAAAGGCACGAGTCTGGATGTTAACCTGTGGAAAATATAAACTCTCATTTTTTTGGTAATCTATTTGATACTATCTAGCTTAAGCAACCTGCCTGTATTTTACTGCAATATACGAAAAAATGCACTTACAAATTTCAGAATGAATATCTCCATAATACTAACTTGAATCGTGATCTACGGGCGCGACATATCTAAATCTAAATTTTAGATGGTCGAAATATCTCACGCCAGCAAATCAATCAACGAATCGCTCTCCACCTTTTTGCAGAAAATCTTCATCAATCTTCTTTCTATCTACTAAGCGTGTGTGCATCCCACAACAGCAAAGCAAATTTTTCCTGCATCTTAGATAGAGTCGCCCTTTCGATGATGCTGCCTTCAGCAAAGTTGTTCCTTATAAATAGCGAGGGGGACGACTCTATCTACGCTGCAGGAAATATTGTGTTGTGCTGTGGCTAGCTGCTCGCACGCTGAGTAGATAGAAAGAAGATTGATGACGATTCTGAAGATTTCCTGCAAAAAGATGATGCGCGATGTAAGTATATGCGAGAAAAGCAAGAAGATTTTTCGAAGATTGATTCGCTAGTGTGAGATTTTTTGAGCATCTAAAATTGAGATTTAGATGTGTCGCCCTCCTCGATAAATAGTTTATGCTACATGTTGCTGAAATTCTGAGTATAATGGAGTTTGCTGAACCCCAGTTTTATGCACGAAAGAGTGAAGGAATGTTATTTCTCCATACATTCCAACCAAGATCCCCACTTCTGTTACATCCGAATGTGCTGAAGTTTTCAGAGAGTGATTTTCTCACCTTATGGCACAAATCTGGAAGTTGGCCCGTTGAAAAAAATGATTCAAAATTTTTCCCCTACAAATGTGGGCCAGTCGTGTGTCAAACACATCATGCAACACATCAAACAAACACAACGAAACCAAGATAGTGTTCACATTGAGTGCCCAGGACCACATTGGTCACAACATCGATAAAGTAGTCAAAATCATATTGAATAAAATCCCATCGTGCTACGTATCGAATCACATGAGCGATCGATAGCTAGATCAATAGGAGTCATAGTCCAGGACCACGTTTGGTCATGTTCTGGATGTCTTCGGAGAAATGGTAGGTTTTAATAGGTTTGGCAACGTGAGGTCGAGCGTTGTCATGCTGTAGAATCACTTTTTATTTGGCTCAGTTCTCAGCTCAATCGCATCAATGGATCAATGAAAATGCTAAGGTTTTGACAGAACTATGGCTGTGGCTACCACAGTATTTTACATTTGATCGTCAATATACAGTAGCGCCAAAAGCATGCTGTGGTGGGTTTAAAACTTGACCATCTAAATTGATCAATTGAGTTCGATATCGTTCCCCAGTGATGGTTTCGTTCAGTTTCAACAGCTCATAATAAATATCAGCGAGCTGGTCCCACCAAATACACAGCATAACCTTCGCAGCGTTAATATTCGGCCCAGCCGACGACGTAGAAGCAAGACCGGGCAGCCCCATGATTGTTTCTCTATGAGTTGCTGTTATGGATTCATTTCTAATCAACCGTCACGATTAACCCTTTCTTTTTTGCCGCTGGAGCAGTTGTTCATAGGCGAAAAACTACGCTCAACGTCTCTTGGCTTCAAATCATATGGAACCCAAGTTCCTTGGTTTTGAATCATTCCCAGCGCATGCAATCGCTTGGGAATGGCTTGGCGGGTAACTCCTAGTGCTGAGACAAGCTCTTCTTGCATTTCGCACGGATTCTCATCAAGCAATGCCTCCATTTCAACGTCTTCGAAGGTTTCTGGCCTTCCTTCACGCGGACGGTCGTCAACAACGAAATCAGCGTCTTTGAAGCGATGGAACCAATTACAGAACGTTGTTTTACATAGAGCAGCATCTCCGTAAACTTTTTGGGGCTCTCGATACGCTTTAGCCGCCGTTCTCTGAAAGAAAGAAAATAAACACTTACCGCGAATGACGTTTATTTGGCAAAAAATGACACCAAACATGACACAACCAAAAGTATATGACACAAAAACAAAATCACTATTGTGTCAAAGCGGTTTGTTTACCATAATGTCTATGCTTGATTCATGACGTTTTCGATTTGTCACAATCAACCGGCACCTACTGCTGGAGCCATCTATTGACAAACACCGGGAACTTAGTTTTTTTTTTATATCTTTATTAAGGAGACTTTCAGGACTTATACCCTGGACAGACTATGGCTTATATCATGTAATATAAGCTGTCTTGCGATGAGCACTCATACATCTAGTTTTCACTGGAAATCCTATGTATGAGTGCTCATTGCAAGACAGCCTATATTACATGATATAAGCCATAGTCTGTCCAGGGTATTAGTTGCGCACATAATAATTCCCTAGATTCCCCTGACTTGAATTCCAATATAATTATGGAATTTATAAATCTAAAGAAATTGAAGGGAGAACTTCAGTAAAGTCTAATGTGAATTTTAAGATAGTCCTGGGTAAACATCCAGGGCAATTCCGAGGAGTATTCAATGGTAGTAATTCTGGGGAGAATTTGTAGGAGAGTTTCAAAACAAATTTCGTGAAGCATTCCTGTTCAATTCCAAACAGAATGTCAACGCAAGTCAAACGTGCATTTTATGAGAAGTCAGTAGAACTTTTGGAGAGAATTCCGGAGTTAATTACAATATTCGTTATGAATTTGAATTAAATTTTAGAATTTATTTCAAGAGTTACCTGGAGAGAATTCCTGCAGCATTGTGAAGAAAATGAAGAGAATTCCAGAGCGAGAGACTCGCTCCAGATGGACTTATTAGAGGGAATCATTTAATTTTTGTATGGTAATACATGGAGCTTCCCTTAGCTCAGTCGGTAAAGGCGTAGCTACAAAGCAAGACCATGCTGGAGGTAGCTGCGTTTGATTCCCGGTGCAGTCTAGGAATTTTTAGGGGTTGGAAAATGTCTTGTCTTCTCTGGGCATAGTGTGATTGTACTTGCCATACAATAATTTACTATTGCAAAAATTGTACAGGCATCAAAAGCTCTCAATTAATAACTGTGGAAGTACTTCTAGAACACTAAGTTGAGAGCACGAAATAAGCTAACATTCGATAAGCAATAAGCTTGAAATGTGAACAAGAAGAAGAAGATGTAAATTAACACCAAAAATGAAAAGAGATTCTGTGTAGCGTTCCATCGAAGACAACATATCAAGAAGACTGACAACTTTGTCAGAATCCAAGCGACAGATACAGTAGCGCCATAGAGGTAACTTTAAGACCGGAAGGTCCCGAAGAAACGTACGCAACTTTTTGGCTCAGCTCTGGTACTATCTTCGGTCCCAAGCTAATCGATGCGACCCTCAAAACATAGAAAAATCCCCGAACGCCTATTTTTAACTGTGAAACTTTCATAGCGAATCAAAACAAACATAGTGTACTTGGGATCAATAGACTAGTCAAGTAGTGAGCCAATTTAAAATCGTTTTTTTTTTTAACTCTTTTTTTGTTCCAAATTCAAAATAAATTACATTTCATTTTTAACCTAGGTGCTCCAGTTACTGCAGTAACGTACCAGCCTTAATTGTTATGATATATATCTAAGTGTTTTTACATTGTTCATGTCTTGGCAATTCAGTATTTTAAACAGGTTTTTTAACCTGCATGTCAGTATAACAATTGATATTTTAAAACTAAAAACTAAAACTAAATCTTATCTAAGTATAAAGGGAATTAATCGTTGCAATTGAGGATTGCAACGATTTTTGCCTGAAATTATTAATTATTTTGTTGGACATTTGTTCTAAAGTCTCAACATTCGAAATTCTATGTACCTCGGTAGTACTGTACCAGGGAGGCAACTTCAAAATCATTTTCAGAACTTTGTTCTGAATCCTTTGAAGTGCTTTTTTCCTGGTAGTGCAACAACAAGACCATATTGGCACAGCGTAAAGCATGGCCGGTCTAAAAACTTGTTTAAATATTAGAAGTTTATTCGTCAGGCAAAGTTTGGATTTCCTTTTTTATAAGACCCTACAAATATTTAATATATTTGTTACATTTAGCTTGAATGCCCTCAATGTGATCTTTAAAAGTTAATTTAAATTTAAATTTAAAAGTATTAATCCAAGATAGTTCACTTGGTTTGACCAGGAAATTGGAACTCCGTTCAAAGTGACTATGTGACTACTACTAGGTTTCAAAAACGAAACTCTAGGCTTGTGTGGAAATATTATAAGTTGAGTTTTGGAAGCGTTGGGAGAAATCTTCCATTTTTGTAAATAAGAAGAGAAAATATCTAAACTTTTCTGCAGTCTGCTGCAAATAACACGAAGACTTCTTCCTTTAGCGGAAATGCCTGTGTCATCAGCGAACAAAGATTTGTGGCAACCCTGAGGCAAATCAGGGAGGTCCGAAGTGAAAATGTTATACAATATAGGCCCAAGAATGCTACCCTGAGGAACTCCTGCTCTAACAGGAAGTCGATTAGATTTGGAATTTTGATAATTTACCTGCAGAGTTCTGTCAGTTAAATAATTTTGAACTAATTTCATAATAGAAAGTGTAAAATTAAACTTTTTCAATTTAGCAATCAAACCTTCATGCCAAACACTGTCGAATGCTTTTTCTATGTCTAGAAGAGCAACTCCAGTTGAGTGGCCTTCAGATTTGTTTGAACGAATTAAATTGGTAACTCTTAAGAGTTGATGAGTAGTTGAATGCCCATGGCGAAATCCAAACTGCTCATCTGCAAAATTCTATTCAAAATTATCTTTTCAAAAAGTTTACTTATTGAAGAAAGCAAACTTACTGGGCGGTAGCTAGAAGCTTCAGCTGGATTTTTATCCGGCTTCAAAATTGGAACAACTTTTGCATTTTTTCATATATCAGGAAAGTATGCCAAATGGAAACATCTGTTAAATAATTTTACCAAGAAAGACAAGGTACTCTCTGGGAGTTTTTTGATGAGGATATAGAAAATTCCATCATCACCTGGAGCTTTCATATTATGAAAATTTTTAGTAATAGATCTTACTTCGTCCAAATCAGTCCCCCAGGAATCATCAAAAATATTTTCCCGAGAGAAAATATTCCGAAAATCCCGAGCAACCTGATTCTCAATAGGACTAGTAAGACCCAAACTGAAATTATGGGAACTCTCGAATTGCTTAGCAAGTTTCTGAGCTTTTTCCAAATTTGTGATCAAAATTTTACCACCTTCTTTAAGCGCTGGAATTGGCTTTTGAGGTTTTTTCAAAATTTTTGTGAGTTTCCAAAAGGGTTTGGAACTCGGGTCTAATTTAGAAATATTATTTTCAAAAGTTTTGTTCCTCAGGGCAGAGAATCGCTTTTTAATTTGTTTTTGCATATCCCGCCAGATAACCTTCATGGCAGAATCGCGTGTTCTTTGATATTGTCTCCTACGAACATTTTTAAGACGGATCAAGAGCTGAAGATCGTCGTCTATTATAATTGAATCGAATTTAACCTCGCATTTTGGTACTGAGGCAGCTCTTGCTGCAACTATAGAAGTAGTCAGAGATTCAAGAGCATAATTAATTTCATCTTTGGTTTGCAAAGGAATGTTTGGATCGAAGTTATATTCCATAAATGTTCGATACTACTCCCAATCAGCTCTATGGTAATTGAAAGTAGAGCTGTTGGGATTGCAAATTATTTCGGTAATTTTTTGCCGAGATTCGCACAACCGAGTGCTCAGTAGTCAATGTTACTGAGATCTCAGCACGTTGTTTGCTGAGATTCAGCAAAGCATTTTCCGAGACTCAGCAACCAAACATCAGTTTTGCTGAGATCTCAGTAAACAGATTGCCAAGCACTCGGCTGTGCAAATCTCGGCAAAAATAGCCGAGATTCGACAAAAAAATAAGTGTGTACTACTACTAATGTTTAGCACTCATTTGCAGTTTCAGAATGATGGTTTCGGCGCGAATCTATAAAATAAATTTGGGAATTGGTTGAGAACAAACAGTGACTTTGAAATATAAAAAAAAATGCTTTCAAGATATTTAATCCAACCAAAAACTCGATACTTTAAAACATTGAAATGTTTGATGATCTGTGATTTTCAAAAATACCATACCCGAACGATAACCCAAACGGTAGAACTACTTCACACATGGTTTGGATGATACCCTGAACACGCCGTTAAGCAAACTAAACATACAAATTTTATTAGGGAAGTTGCTATGTTTCGAACTTCCGAATTGATTAAAAATACAGTCATATTGTGCCAAACCCCCACCCCCCATTTTACGACGCCTGGAGCCGCCCATGGATATATCAAAACTTATTTGAAGGTTCTATCTCACCATGGTTGGATAAATTCATGTTTTTTAAATATAGAGTCTCGCGCTACTTCGTCTCATTTCCATACTATGCATTCAAAACTAACTCAAGAACAAGTTTGTCAGGGAAGATCAACTGAGAAAAAGTTTCCAACTTATTGAAATCGTCACCTCCATCGACCACTACCCACAGTGCAACAGTCTGTCGAATGATCTCCGAAATTCCCACAGACAAGTTCAAGCCGTAGCGATAAGCGCAACACCTCTAATTATCACCTACTAATTAGCAACGAATGTCTCCTACCTCTTCTCTCCCGACAGTTTCCGCCTTCTCCAAGGACGGAGCCAACCTGGAGCTATCACTCAACAACAACTCCACGCTGGGAAAATCCGGTTCCCTCGGTGCCAACACGGTCCTAGTGCTACCGACCGCCAGTACCAACGGCTCGGTTGACAGCACCGATAGCAGTGGTACGACCACCATCGCAGCAGGCCTGAAGCCGGCCACAGCCGTTTCCTCCGATGCCATCCCCCTCTCGATTACCTCAATACCGCTAACCTTCACCGTAACACCGGTCACCACCACGGCGAACGCCACCACCGGAACCATCATCACCGAATTGCCATTCGACGACAGTGCCGAGGTCAGCACCGTGACGCTCAGCAATGAGAAAAAAGCATCGGCTTCCGAACCGTCGTCGTCCGCCGCATCGACGCTCAGCAAACGGAAACCCAAACACAGCGAGGTCTACGTCTGAACGCATCATGCAGCTCGATCGTTGCTGTTTTTATTTGTTTTATGATTTACGCTAATGATACGACGTGAATACCAGACCATTGTTGCGTGCATTACAAGTTGTGCATTCAAGATGCACTGTGACGATGCAGTTCCTGTGACATGAAGACGAGAAACGACAGTATAAGCGCAAGCATTAATTCTTCACAATTGTTCAAACGATACAAAACTGATGATTATGATAGATGATTGTTTTAAACTGAAAAATAGCATTTCATTTTGCTTTGCATTGCTTAGGGTTTTAAATTCTGTAAATAGAACAATGTATTTTAAGGCAAACAAGAGACAAGTCGAATGAAATTTTACTCTGCGTTGGTGGTTCAACCGACAGTGGCATGTGAACGATACAACAAACCAATAAAGTGAACGATCATGTTTTATTCAACTGAATTAATGTGTTTGCTGTTCTTGTTTCTGAAGCTATCCGAACTACGTGTATGTATGTCTACATTTATCACATTGGTTATTGACACAATCGCTGTATAAGGTGAACAATTATTGAGCGAAAAGTGATCGGTTCGATTCTTGGTCTGGTGCGAAGAAGTTACACATTTCAATGAGCATACCTATTGAGATAGCTGAAATTATCGCGCTATTTAATTTATTATAGTCTGTTAAGCCAGTAGATCACTTCTAAGAGACGCGTTACGTAGTAAGATCTACCAAATCGAACCCTGGTTCAATGTTCTTTATGTATCTTGAAAAAATTACCAAATCCTATATACACAGCAAAAAATAAATTGTAATATTACATCCTAGAGGATGCACTTCAATCATGTCAAAAATATCATTTAATTTTTATGGCCACAATAATAAACAAATGCAGTAAAAGTTACGTAATGTCAGTTCATGCACTGTATTAATGATAATTTTGTCCTTTTTGGAAAGTAATATTACACCATATTTTCGACACGATTGAAGTGCATCCACTTTGATGTGATATTAAAATATTTTTTTTGCTGTGTACACCGTTTGAAAAATTCATGTAAATTTCTGCGAGGTATAGCGGAAATAAAATTAACTCTAGATTTGACATACACAGAAAAAAAGTTGTTGAATATTACATCCAAACTGCTGCAACAAGGTCAATCCATCGGTTGTGTAATATAACGTTGTACGATGTACATCGATTTTGCGAACATCTGCTTTATGCTATTACATCATTATTTCATACATCAGCTTAAATTACATTGATCGATATTGCATTTTTTTTACTGTGTACATTTACGCGATATTTCGTGTAAGTTTAAGCGGAATATCGCATAAATTAGTAATATTGTGTGCAAGCTTGTAAACGATTTCGCTGTTTATGCCAAGTATAGCTCAAAATTAAACAAAGGGAGATTTTACGCGATAGTTAAAATTCAGAATTTTTTTCTGTGGTCACTCAGTTTTTTTCCACACGGGGGATATGTACCATATAAAAAAAAAACCTACGAGATTTTGATTTTTCACATGCTTAAATGTTTTTAAAAAATCGGATTTTGATGCTATTTGTTTTTTTTTTTTTAACTCTTTTTTTTGTTCCAAATTCAAAATAAATTACATTTCATTTTTAACCTAGGTGCTCCAGTTACTGCAGTAACGTACCAGCCTTAATTGTTATGATATATATCTAAGTGTTTTTACATTGTTCATGTCTTGGCAATTAAGTATTTTAAACAGGTTTTTTAACCTGCATGTCAGTATAACAATTGATATCTTAAAACTAAAAACTAAAACTAAATCTTGAGGATTGCAACGATTTTTGCCTGAAATTATTCATTATTTTGTTGGACATTTGTTCTAAAGTCTCAACATTCGAAATTCTATGTACTTCGGTAGTACATGGTAGTACTGTACCAGGGAGGCAACTTTAAAATCATTTTCAGAACTTTGTTCTGAATCCTTTGAAGTGCTTTTTTCCTGGTGGTGCAACAACAAGACCATATTGGCACAGCGTAAAGCATGGCCGGTCTAAAAACTTGTTTAAATATTAGAAGTTTATTCGTCAGGCAAAGTTTGGATTTCCTGTTTATAAGAGGATACAAACATTTTAAATATTTGTTACATTTGGCTTGAATGCCCTCAATAGGATCTTTAAAACTTAATTTTTGGTCAAGTATTAATCCAAGATATTTCACTTGGTTTGACCAGGAAATTGGAACTCCGTTCATAGTGACTATGTGACTACTACTAGGTTTCAAAAACGAAGCTCTAGGCTTGTGTGGAAATATTATAAGTTGAGTTTTGGAAGCGTTGGGAGAAATCTTCCATTTTTGTAAATAAGAAGAGAAAATATCTAAACTTTTCTGCAGTCTGCTGCAAATAACACGAAGACTTCTTCCTTTAGCGGAAATGCCTGTGTCATCAGCGAACAAAGATTTGTGGCAACCCTGAGGCAAATCAGGGAGGTCCGAAGTGAAAATGTTATACAATATAGGCCCAAGAATGCTACCCTGAGGAACTCCTGCTCTAACAGGTAGTCGATTAGATTTGGAATTTTGATAATTTACCTGCAGAGTTCTGTCAGTTAAATAATTTTGAACTAATTTCATAATATAAAGTGGAAAATTAAACTTTTTCAATTTAGCAATCAAACCTTCATGCCAAACACTGTCGAATGCTTTTTCTATATCTAGAAGAGCAACTCCAGTTGAGTGGCCTTCAGATTTGTTTGAACGAATTAAATTGTTAACTCTTAAGAGTTGATGAGTAGTTGAATGCCCATGGCGAAATCCAAACTGCTCATCTGCAAAAATTGAGTTCGTATTGATGTGAAGCATCATTCTATTCAAAATTATCTTTTCAAAAAGTTTACTTATTGAAGAAAGCAAACTTATTGGGCGGTAGCTAGAAGCTTCAGCTGGATTTATATCCGGCTTCAAAATTGGAACAACTTTTGCATTTTTCCATTTATCAGGAAAGTATGCCAAATGGAAACATCTGTTAAATACTTTGACTATTTGTTTTTAGTATTACTTCTACGTGAAGTCAACGATTTACATAGTTGAAGATGCTAATTTTAAATAACAGACTGTAGTGGTAATTTTTATACGATAGATGGAGTAGATGAAAGCATAGAGTTGATAGTTCCGTTAGAGTACGGCAGTGTGAAGATTGTATATAGATATTAGACAAGCGAGCTAGGACAACTTTTAAGGAAGGTACAAATCGGTTTTTTCATCTCTCTTTACCAAACTCCCCCTTTGGAGAGGGATGGTGAGGGGTGTCCCCCCCCCCCCCGCCACCACTGGCAAAAAGAGATGAAAACCGACCCGCTCATGTACCAACTGTGTGTTTGAAACAGTTCTACCGATTTTTTACCGCACTTCAGTTGTTATTTGAAGGAAGGCATCCAGTCGTAGGTTTGGAAATTGCAACTATTGTTTACCCCTACCACGATATGTGCTCCTGTCATCGTCGACTTGACGATCTCGAGGGGACACGGGTGGGGTAGGTGCTGCTACTGTACCTTTCGACCATTGACAGTAATTGATGGTATGCTCCCATCCAGAGTTATGTACTTTGACTATATGTTTTTAGTATTACTTCTACGTGAAGTCAATGATTTACATAGTTGAAGATGCTAATTTCAAATAACAGACTGTAGTGGTAATTTTTATACGATAGATGGAGTAGATGAAAGCATAGAGTTGATGGTTCCGTTAGAGTACGGCAGTGTGAAGATTGTACAGTCAGGAATCCTTATTGCCGGGGTAACGGGGGCGTGAATAAGGAACCGCGAATAAGGATACCCACAGCTTATGGGATTTTCACTAATGGGGGCTGTAGTGGATTATCTCATTTGTTTCAATACATAAAGCTATACTGTCTTCGACAAAGTTGTTGTACTGGGTTAGACCAACAAGCCTGTGCCATTGGATTCAGGTTAAATTGGGAACTACGCCGCTAGAGGCGCTTCACTTTTATGTTACTTATGACGGGTGCTATAATATATGGATCATATTTCCAACATAGAATATTTCGTGATCCTGACCATATAGAAAGTTACTGTCTTCAGCAAAGTTGTTCAGGTGACCAAGTCCTTTTGGATGGTGGCCATATTAGTTCAGAACTCTCTCACTACGCAGCGCTAGTGTGCATGTGCAATTCCTATATAAACTGTATCTCGAGAGCCTGGCCATATAGAAAGTTGCTGTTTTCATCAAAGTTGGGCAGGTGATCAAGTCCTTTTGGATGGTGGCCATATTAGTTCAGAACTCTCTCACTACGCAGCGCTAGTGTGCATGTGCAATTCCTATATAAACTGTATCTCGAGAGCCTGGCCATATAGAAAGTTGCTGTTTTCAGCAAAGTTGTTCAGGTGACCAAGTCCTTTCGGATGGTGGCCATATTAGTTCAGAACTCTCTCACTACGCAGCGCTAGTGTGCATGTGCAATTCCTATATAAACTGTATCTCGAGAGCCTGGCCATATAGAAAGTTGCTGTTTTCATCAAAGTTGGGCAGGTGATCAAGTCCTTTTGGATGGTGGCCATATTAGTTCAGAACTCTCTCACTACGCAGCGCTAGTGTGCATGTGCAATTCCTATATAAACTGTATCTCGAGAGCCTGGCCCTATAGAAAGTTGCTGTTTTCAGCAAAGTTGTTCAGGTGACCAAGTCCTTTCGGATGGTGGCCATATTAGTTCAGAACTCTCTCACTACGCAGCGCTAGTGTGCATGTGCAATTCCTATATAAACTGTATCTCGAGAGCCTGGCCATATAGAAAGTTGCTGTTTTCATCAAAGTTGGGCAGGTGATCAAGTCCTTTTGGATGGTGGCCATATTAGTTCAGAACTCTCTCACTACGCAGCGCTAGTGTGCATGTGCAATTCCTATATAAACTGTATCTCGAGAGCCTGGCCATATAGAAAGTTGCTGTTTTCAGCAAAGTTGTTCAGGTGACCAAGTCCTTTCGGATGGTGGCCATATTAGTTCAGAACTCTCTCACTACGCAGCGCTAGTGTGCATGTGCAATTCCTATATAAACTGTATCTCGAGAGCCTGACCAATTAGAAAGTTGCTGTTTTGAGCAAAGTTGCGCAGGTGATCAAGTCCTTTTGGATGGTGGCCATATTACTCTCTCACTACGCAGCGCTAGTGTGCATGTGCAATTCCTATATAAACTGTATCTCGAGAGCCTGGCCATATAGAAAGTTGCTGTTTTCAGCAGAGTTGTGCAGGTGAGCAAGTCCTTTCGGATGATGTTCATATTAGTTCAGAACACGCTCACTACGCGGCGCTAGTGTGCAAGTAAATTTCCTGTATAAGCTGTATCTCGAGAACCTGGCCATATAGAAGGTTACTGTCTTGAGCAAAGTTGTTCAGGTGACTAAGTCCTTTCGGATGATCGTCATATTATTTCAGAA